AAGGTTTTTTTTGCTGATTGTTGATTGGTTCGTCTATATTCATGGCGTGTAAATCAAGAGGATCTGTGTTGGGAATTGATAAAATAGTGGACATTGTGAGTGGTTGCAGTGTGATAAAAAGGAAGAAGGAATAAAGTCTAGTGAGAGGATGGAGAGTCTCTCTCTACATCCTTTTTTCGAAGTGTTCGGGAGATCATGGCCTCCCTCATGTTTAACATCCAACTACTTCCATTTCTATCTGTATGTTAAATTCCTCACCATGATTATAAAAAAAAAAAAGAGAAAAAAGAGGAGACTTGCTTGGATTTCCTTTTTGGGAGGGCGCGCGTGGAGTTGATGAAGGAAGGTAGCAGGGCTATTCAGTTGCTAAGGTAAGAGGCGAAGCGAGAATTTCAAACTTATGGATTCGAGATTCTAATCGTTTGAAGTTACTGTTAAATTAATAATTTATACATGTCCAATGAAATTTTTAAAACAAATACAGGGCTCGAACCAAAGATACTGGGTTCGGCCGAACCCGCTCCGGCCTCTCTAGCTCCGACCCTGGCTAAGGTGTGTTATTTGATAATGTTTATATATGTTTATATATATATATGTAAATAATACTACTTTCCTAAAATACTATATGTATACATATTAGGTGGACACAACTTGAAAATAACACAGCAAATATCAATTTGGGACAAGAAATGAAGCCTTAAAATCCACCCACTGACAAGCAGAAATTCGACAATAAACCGACACTGCTAGTGAATCCATATATTAAGGATCTAAGATTACAGGCACAATAAAGAGAATTTATTAAGCCAAGGGAATGGTAAACAAGGCTTTACACTCAGAAGCCACAAAAACTCATCTCAGCTTTCAGCTGTCTTTTCTGACCCTACTTACACTTTTCTGATTATCCTCATCTGTACAATCCTCTTAAGTGGCATGCCATCCAACATTTGAAGAATAGAAGAATTACAATAAGACTTGACACCAATATGCTGCTGCTAATGCCATGCATTATCAAATACGATCTGTAGCTTCGTCGTAAACCAGCTGTATCAGCATTTAACAGATCATCTATTGCCACCATTCGATCAAGCAACAAGACTATGATTCTTCGATTTACTAGTCTCAAGGCTAGATGAAGCATTGGATAAATTCATAAAGGAAGGTTATATTCTAAGCTTTTTGAAATGTACGCGAAGAAACTCCATGCAGAAGCCTGACAAATCCCAAGAAACTGAGCTTCCCATCAGAATGCCTTATCCAGTCCTTCAGAACTACATGAACTGGAACTGAAGGACTTAGCCCGAGCTCCTGTTTGAAGAAACCGGATAGGAAAAATTAGCAAGCTAGAAGCTGAGAATTAAAGATTTTTCCGCAATTTTGCAATACTTCAGTTGACAAAGTTCAGAAATCAATTTAGGCAAGTTTAGTCCTGCCACCACCATATTCCTATATGTTTTTAATTTCTTACCACCTAATAAATGATGATTTAACTTATTTAAAAAGCTCAATCTTTGTGTCTATTACACATTTTCTTTTACCTTAGAAGTAGAACAGCTCGTATCTTTGAACCAAAAAATGAACTCTGTACGTGTCAACTTGTTCTGTTTTACTTGACAATGTCATAAGCAAATAACAATAATGCACGTTGGAAATTATTACTCCTTCCTTTATGATATAGGTTCTATTGATGGACTCAGATCCTTCCCACCCCTATTTATATAGCATTACTATAAGAATCACTATGAGAAAAGGGGGAGGGGGAAAATGTACCGAGGCGAGTTCCTCTATCATAATAGGCCTGTTCCCCTCCTTTTCAAAGAACTCATAGCCACGACGAGCATGTTGCTCCCAGCTTTCCATTCCTTCAAGCTGATGTACACTTATCGCTGCAGCACAGAATTCTTCAAAATCCAACTTTCTGTATTGAAGAGAACTCACCTGCTCGGGGCACGAAAAAAGTCAGTGAATAAATT